ATGGAGGACAGAGGTCACTGACAAGTACCCTTCTCAGTTACTCTCCACCTTATTTTTTGAGACAGGCTCTCTCACTGAGACTGTCCCCCCCTAGACTTCAAGTATTTGAACACTTGGTCAGTTGATGGTGCTGTTTGGGGAGGTTTAGGAGGAAGCTCATCACTGGGACAGGCTTTGAGAGTTTATAGTCCTGTCCCACTTTCAGTTTGTCTCTGCTTCTTGTGCCTGCTTGAAGATGTGAGTGCTCAGTTTTCCTCTCCAATTGCCTTCTGCCATGCCTCCCCTGCCACGATGGACTTTTTTTTTTTTTAATGTATATGAGTATACTGCCTGCATGTGTGTAAGTGCACCCATGTCATGCAATGCCTATAGAGGTCAGGAGAGGGCATTGGATTCTTCTGGAACTGCAGTTACAAATAGTTGTTAGCTGCCATGTGAATGCTGGGAACAAAACCCAGGTCCTCTGCAAGAGTAACCAGTGCTCTTAACTACTGAGCAATCTTTCCAATGCAAGGACTCTTTTCCCTCTTCTTCCTTCTATAAATTGCATTTATTATGATGTTTTATCACAATAAGAGAAAAGTAACTAATACAAAATTTGGTACCAGAGAGTGGGCTGTTGCTGTGAAGAACCTGACCATGTTGTTTCCTGGAGGAATGTTGAAGACATTGGAAGCTTGGACTAGAAAAGCAGTTGAATGCTGGAATCAGAGTTTAATGGGTTGTTGTAAGCAGGAGCCTGGCAAAAAGTCAGTGCTGAGAACAATGTAGTTCTAGTGGGAAATAAGGCCTTAAACAGCAACTGTGAAGCAACTGGCAAGAAATTTTGTTGCCCTTAGCCTAAGAACTTGCCTGAGGCTAAATTAAAATGTGATGGGCTAATTTCTTTGGTGGAAGAAATTTCAAGACAGTTTAGTGTTGAATCTGTGACATGTTTGTTGTTGTTGTTGTTGTTGTTGTTTTGGGGGGTGCTTGTTTGTTTATTTTTGTCCTTTTGAGACAGGGTCTCCCTGTAGCCACAGCTAGTCTAGAATCACTGTGTAGACCAGACTGGCCTTGAACTCATAGAGATCTTCCTGCCTCTGCCTCCCATGCGCTGGGATTAAAGGCATGCACCACCATGCTGAGCTCATGTGACATGGTTATTAATCTTGAATATTATGCAGATCTATAATGAAAAAGGGCAAATGGGGCAGAAACAGATATAAAATGTACAGTTTGGAGAGAAAAACAGCACTAGGAAGCTTAATGCTGAAGCCAGGGCAGCCAAGGGTGTCCTGGAAGAGAGGCTCCCATTGTTAAGGAGATTAGAGCTATTAAGACGAGGCCTCCTGCCCTACTAAAAATTAAGTATTACCAGCCCAAGAAAGAATGTATGTTTCAGGCAGCAAACCTGACAAAGCAGAGACATCTAAGTCCTTTGGAACTGAAGTCCCAAACATCAGACATGGAGCTATAGGACTTGATGTTTTCCCTGCTGATTTTTAGCCTTGTTTCAGTCCAGTATTTCCTCACTATGCCCCCATTCCTCCCTTTGGGAATGGAAATGTATATTGGGTTCCATTGTATGTTGGAAGCATGAAATTTGTCTTTTGTTTTTACAGGGCTTGCAGTTAAGAGATTGCCTTAATCTCAGAAGAGATTTGGACCTTTGAATAGTGTTGAGACTATGGAAGACTATGGAAACTTTTAAGGCTGGACTAAATACATTTTTGCGTTATGCAGTGGCCATTTGCCTATGGGGCCAGGGAGTGGAATGTGGTGGTTTGGATGAGAAGTGTCCCCCATAGGCTCCAAGAGTTTGAATACTTGGTCAGTTGGTAGAGTTATTTGGGGAGGTTTAGGGGTATGGTCTTGCTAGAGGAAGCATGTCACTGGGGTGGGTTCTGAGAGTTCATAGCCATGTCCCACTTGCAGTTTGATTCTCTCTGCTTCCTTCAAGTGCTTGAAGATGTGAGCCATTTTCTACTCCAGCTGCCTACCTTCCTGCCATAAGGGACTCATCCTTCTGGAACTTCAAGTCATATAAACTCTTCCTTCTCTGAGTTACCTTGGTCATAGTGTTTTATCACAGCCGCAGAAAGTAACTAGGACACTAGAGTGCACAGAGTTGGCTACACTGGACAGCCAGAAAGCCCCAAGGATCCTCATGACTCCCCAGCACTGGGAGTATAGACTCATATATACCATTTTTAACATGGGTCCTGGAGATCCAAACTCAAGTCCTAACACTTGTACAGCAAGCACTTTCCTAACTGAGCCATCTCCCCAACCCCTAGAATAATTATTTTCTTCCTTTGTCCTATTTATATATTGTTTATTTCATATGCATGGGGGGCACCCATATGCCATGGTTGTATGGGTGGAGGTCAGATAACAGCATGTAGAAGTTGGTTCTCTCCTTTCACCATGTGAGTTCCAGGGACTGAGCTCAAGTTGTCAGGCTTGGCAGCAAGTGCCTTTACCCACCGAGTCATCTCCTCAACCATATTATTTATATATACATATATATGTGTATGTATATGTATATAGTGTTTTGCGTTCCTAGATCTGTGTTGGATAAGATATAGAACTCACTGGTACACTTGTCTAGTATACACAGGATGTGGATTCAAGTCCCGGGACTAGGGCTATTAAGATGGCTTAGCAAGTAAAGGCACTTGCTGCCAAGCCTGCTGACCTGAGCCCCATTCCCAGGACCTACATAGCAAAGAGAGAACTGACTCCCACAAGTTGTCTACTGGCCGCTACATATACAACATGGCGTGCAGGCTCACAAAAATAAATAAATAAATAAATGAATAAATAAATAAATAAATAAATAAAAACTCCAGTTCCAGTGTTCCAAGACCTAGTTCTTCTGTCCTCCATGGGGCATTGCATGACATGGGTTCAGTTACATAAATGCCAGCATGATACTCTAAATAAATAAATAAATAAATAAAATAATAAGCAAATTGGGGGCAGGGAGCAGCAAGATGGCTCAGCTGGTAAAGATACCTGCTGCCAAACCTGATGATCTGAGTTCAATCCCCAGGACCCACATGGTAGAAGGAGAGAACTGACTCCACATGCTGTCTTCTGACCTCCACATGTGCTCTGTGCATTCACATGAACACACACACACACACACACACACACACACACACAAATAAATAAATA